GCATCCTCACAGCAGATGCTGGGATCTTTGGAGTGGCAGTTGGCATCCCAACAGGTTTGGGGCAGGGTAGCAGCTTGCAAGGCTGTGTTCAAGAGCCACAGATTCCCAGCAGTGGTCCAGCACACTCCTCTCTGTCTTCTAGGCTTGGCAGGATAAACCAGAGGGGAGCAGGATGTGGGGGGGTGATGGGCTGCGGAGCTTGTCCATGGCATTGCCGGCTGACATGCGTTTTTTGTGCCCAGGTTGCTGTCCCCCCGGCCCAGCCTGCTCAACACTGCCAGCGATGCCAGGCTCAACTCATCGCCACAGAAGCCGCTGGACCTGAAGCAGCTGAAGCAGCGTGCTGCTGCCATCCCTCCCATCGTGAGTACCCCCACCCCGGGTCAGGAGCACCCTGCCGCATGTGCCTCCTGTGTGCCCTCGCACAGGGCTGCGTCCTATGCGTCAGGGTGGCGAGGGTGAGCTCATCCCCGCGGATGGCAACCTGTTCCAGTGCCTCCCCACCCTCTCCGGGAAGAATTTCTTCCTGGTGTCCCATCTCAATCTCCCTCTTTCAGTTTAAACCTGTCACTCCCTGACCTTGGAAAAAGTCCCCCCTCCATGTTCCTGGCTGCCGCAGCAGCTCTGCCAGCAGCGCCTGGGTGTCCCTTCAGCTCCTTTATCAAAGTCGTGGGAGGTCTGGGCAGATAAAGCTCCTCATTGCCACATGACTGCTGCCTCCCGTTGCTTTAAAAAGCAAGTGTGCACCTTCCCAACCCCGAGCTTCTCTTCGTCTCATGCTTGAAGGATACCACAGAAGTGTTCGTGCTCTTCCTCACCCAGAAGCTTTGCGTGGTCCCCCTTCTTGGCTACCCATCAGCCGTGTGCTGAAAAAATCACAGAACCCTAGAATTGTTCTGGTTGGAAAAGACCTTTAAGTTCATTGAGTCCAACCATCAGCCTAGCACTGCTAAGTCTACCCTAAACCATGTCCCTGACCACCACATCAACTCATCTCTCAAATCCCTCCAGAGATGGTGGCTCCACCACCTCCCTGGGCAGTCCATTCCAATGCGTGACAGCCCTTCCCGTGAATTTTTCCCTAATATCCCATCTAAACCTCCCCTGGTGCAACTTGAGGCCGTTTCCTCTCGTCCTGACATGTATTCTCTGAAGCTGACGGTCCCTCCTGGTGCCGTGGCTTTGGGCTGTGGCAAAAAACACCCTGGTGTCTCCAGGGACAACCCTGGAGGAGCAGCATCACTGGCTGTGGAGGGAGGAAATCCCTGCTTTTGGGGTTTGCGTACTCGGGTAGGACGTGTTCCTGATGCTCTTCCAGTTTCCCATGCGGCTGCCGTAATGTAACTTCTGGCAAAAGCCACAAGCACTTAACTGTAGATTAGCGGATTCAAACTAGGCAAGGCTGAGGCTCTCCTGCAGTGCCACCAGCGCGCAGCTGATACTCTGTTGTGGGCTTTTAAAATCTCCCATGGCTGGAGAGGTTCAGAGCCCTGTTTGGGATGGTGAGACCTGCAGAGATGGTGTGGGGCAGGTGCCTCTCCGGACACCTGGATGTCTCCGAGGCTCTTAGGGATGTCAGCAGCACGTGGCATGGCAAGCATCACCGCTTCTTACTGCTTTGCAGATTTCCGAAGGTTTCTCGGAGGGGATGTTGCAGAGTGGAAGTGTGAAGCCTCAGGTGCCTCCCCACGCCTTGGCCCTCTACCAGCAGCAGATCACGAAAGCCCATGAGTCTGCCCGCGAGGACGTGCCCCCGAGCAAGCTCTCGCAGTCCCAGCAGACAGGAGAGAAGGAGCAGCAGCCGAGCAGCAGTCCCAGGGGAAAGAGCAGGAGCCCCGCTGTTGGCGACAAGGAAGGTAGGAGTGTGTGCGCCTCGCTGCCTGTCCGCCCAGAAACGCCGGGTGTGTGCAGCCCTACGTGGTGGAAGCTTGCTTCCGCCCTCCGAAGCTCTTTACTAGCATCTCGAAGCAGGACTGGGGAGGCATGGCTAATTTCCCATGTTCGTTAGGCAGTACATCATGTCTCCTCGAGCCGGCAGTGAACACAGGGCCGGTGTCGAGTGCTGAGGAGGTGAAGATTGCCTTTATTAGTGTCTCTGCCATTTGCCGGAGAGCAAAGGGGCCTGGAGGCATGCCAGGGCTCCGGGCACAATGTCTCCTTTCTACCTTGCTGCCTTTCTGTAAAGCATGCTTTTAATGCTCAGCGGGGACCATTATTTCATTTAAAATCAATGCTAATACTGTGACTCGGAGTCCAAAGGTTCCTGTAAAGATTCCCAGTGCTTTCTCCCCGGAATAGCTCTGATGCGGTCTGGCTGCCTAATGAGCAGTTCAGAGTTTCCCACTGTAGAGCAGCCGAAGCGTCATTAGCTTGAGCACCCGGGGACAGCAGTTAGGGAGAGACGGGAGGTCCTGACGAGCCCAAACTCTCCATGTGTTTTCATCCTGAGTGCCAGAGTCCGTTCCAGCTTGGTCTGTGTCCCTGCCCCTCGCAGCCAAGCTGAGGGGGCAAGGAGGATGTCCCCCAGTGCTGGATCCTGCACAGGGATGGGTGCAGCTGCAAAAATTGCCTCTTTGTGCATGGAGATGGAGCAGGGGTGAGACTCCACTGCCAAGGGATCTGCACTGGACTTGGGCTGGGATTTCTGCTGGAAACGGCTGCACTGGTTTGCCCTCGGCAGCCGGGATCTAGCAGCCTGCTCTGCAGTATCCCCATCTAGGGATTTGTTCTTGGAGCTGTCACATCCCTCGGGACAGAACGATAGGCTTGCAGGAAGCATTGGCTGCTGGCGCTTGGCCAAATTATTTTGGCACAATAAACAGCACCAGCACCTCTGGAATGCTTTGCGTATCAGTGAGGAAGGTGCCTGCTCACCTTGAAAGAAAGGGAGTTCCCTCCGGGTCGTGGCATTGCCACCTGAGAAGTCCCGTCTCCAGCTGCATTCATGTTGGCTGCCTGGGCAGAACAGTTCCCTCTGGCTTTGCCCCCCAGCAGCAGGTTTGATCTTGTCCTGAGCCATAATCCCATGTGGATCTGGTTGTGCACAGCTCAGCTTCCTGGTGGCATGGCCGGCGGTTGAACCCGGAGGAAAAACCAGCGCTGCAGCTCCAGCTTCCTCCTGCCCGCAGGGCGTGAGGAGATGAGGCAGAATGTGTGTGTTCGGTACGGGCAGAGGGGTTGGAGTTCAGCCACGCCATTCTGTGACCTGTTGGCACCATGATTAAATGCCAGGATCTGATTCCCAGGTGGATTTTTTTATGGCTTTGTTCTCTGCAAAGAGAAGCGCTTTATTCTCTCCTCTCACACCTCGGTAGTGCTCTTCATGTTAATGAAGCTAATTACACCTCCCTGGACCCTTGCAGACAGCCCTGCAGGTCTGGAGCTCCAACTGTGTGACCTCCAAGCCCCACGGAGCTGTGCATGTGGCAGCGTGGGTCTGGGCTGCCCATGGGCCCTAGGGAACCACAGGGTCCTCGCACCGTGGAAGGAATGCATCTCCCATGGGAAAACCATAGAATCACAGAATCCCACACTGGTTTGGGTGGGAAGGGACCTTAAAGCCCACCCAGCCCCACCCCCTGCCATGGGCAGGGACACCTTCCACTAGACCAGGTTGCTCCAAGCCTCATCCAGCCTGGCCTTGGGCACTCCCAGGGATGGGGCATCCACAGCTTCTCTGGGCAACCTGTCCCAGTGCCTCCCCACCCTCTCCGGGAAGGATTTCTTCCTGATGTCCCATCTCGATCTCCCTCTATCAGTTTAAACCTGTTACCCCTTGTCCTGTCACTCCTTGCCCTTGGAAAAAGTCCCCCCAGCTTTCTCATAGGCAGGATTGTGATGAGAGTCACCTCGAGGGTAGAAATCGGGTCCCCCAAAGCCCTGAGTTTGGTACGGGTATGGACTCAGGCAGCTGCTCAGGGCTGTCTCTGCCTCTTGGACCACATCCTGGCTGTGGATCAGGGCTTAGAGGGGAGATAGCCAGATACTCCTGGCAAATCTGTGTCCATCCCTTCCCTCCCCTGCTCTCCGAGGCATCCCAGGGAAGTGGCAGGAGGCACTGCAGGCATCGTGCTACCGCGTCACCCTTGCACAGATCTCGTGTGAAATGGGAGAGTTAAATGGCTCCGAGCGAGGGGCCAGCTCTGCTGGAGCAGGTACTCCCATCCCTCCTCTGCTCGATAAGAGAGCCTGAACTCTTGCAACCGCTCCGGAGATCAACATCCTTCTGGATCCGCTTCAAAGCCGAGTCTTGCACACATCCTGGCCCAGGCGTTGGCTCCGCTGGCTGGGGCCATATCGGCTTGGAGGGCGGCCAGCCCAGCCGTACCTTCCTGAGCGCTCCCCCCTCTGCCTTCCAGGGCGAGCTGCTGGCCAGAGGCAAGCAGCCCTGCCCGCGTCTCCCCAGCAGGCAGTCGGATCCCTTTTCCCGTTGCCAAGTCGCCGTCGGGCATATCGTTGGTTATCGCTCGGGCAGTTTGAAAGCCAGCGGTATGTTTTGTGTTGATTTAGTTGTGTTTTCGTTTGGCCTTTGTAGGCGATGGGGAGCCAAGAGCATTAATTTGGATGACGGATCATATAAACTCTGACTCCTTCGCTCCCATTCCAGGGGCTTGATAAACGGTAATAGGAACTGGCTCTTCCCAGCGTAAGTGCTGTTTTATCAAAAGCTGGCTGAGTTATAGCCACCCGCTAATGCAGGGGCAATTAGGAACTGGCTGCGTTTCGCAGGCACGCAGGGGAGGGGACGGCTCCCGCGGGGAGGGGAGGAAGACGGGGCTCTCCATGAGCCATCCAGGGTGCACGTAGCCTTGGCTTGACAGCGCCTTTGCGCCAGAGAGCGTCTTCAGCCGGGACATCCCAGCGCTGTTCTCCCCCGTGTGAGCGGGAGAAAATCAGGGAGCGTGAACACGCCAGGGGCTATCCATCGGTCTGGAGGATGTGCCTGGGTTCCCCTGTGCTGGCAGGATGAAGGGATCCTCCCTGGGATCCAGCGTGGGGAGGGGAGAGGCTGCAGAGGCGAGAGTGCCTGGACACCTCTGTGCCGATAATGGATTTCTTCTCTCGCTGAAGGGGACAAGAATAATCTCCCAGCTTCTGAGTACACTGAGCATTAATAATGATAATGCAGTAAAGCCTCATTAAATCGGGCCTCTGATAATCTACTTGCCCTATTATTAGGCTTAGCGGGATTCAGGCATCTATTTTTATCAAAAATTGATGGGTAAAGGCTGGGTTCATTCGTGATGGCTGTTGTTTACTGCCCAGTTTCTAATTCCTGGCCAATGCAGACACTACGCAGGTGGGTCTGGGGGGAGAAGAACAGCCCAAAACAATGTGTTCGTTGATTATAGGCAGATCTTACCAAACCTGCCTCTAATCCATCCAGAAAATGGTCTCGTCCACCTGCCTGGCAAAGCATGAGGATGCGCTTGGGATGGAGCTGGTGCAGGGGAAGCCCCCTTTCTCCCCGGCACCGTGCTGAGCTTGGCAGGGTTCAGGATGGCTCCTCCGGCATTAGGCACCTCTTGGCCTCCGATCAGCCTTTTTATAGCCGGGCTGAACCCAGACCAAGCCCGACATTTTAAGGCAGCGTTCCTGGCCCTGGTGCCTTGCAGAGGAGCAGCAGCCATCCTGCTGCCTGCAGAGGCTTCTGGTCATCCCACAGAGCCCAGCTTGACCTTCATTTGCATTTGACAGTCTTGTACAGCGCGGTTGTCCCGGGTGTTCTCCGACATCTGGTCTCTCCAGGCATCTCACATTATTCCCTTGCTGGCCAACAAACTGATGTCATTATTTCTGGCCATTCCTGCAGCCTGGAAATGGTTTATAGCCAGCAGCCATCCCTCAGTAGTGGTGGAACTTTCACATCACGATGTGATGTAGGGATGAGCTTGTTCCCAGCACGTGGTGGTCCCTGGAAGTGGTCCGGGGCTCCCCTGGCCCCCACATGCCTGGTTACACACTGCAGACCACATTGTCACCAGCAAGCCACTGCTGGCTGGGTGTCCCCTGCATACCAGAGGGGTGCCAACCTTGGTGCCTCCTGGCTTTGACCTCAGCAGAGGGTTTGACAGGATCACGTCAGCCCCCCCAGCCCTGCTGCGGTGGCCGATGCGGAGCTGTGAGCACAGGCAGGAGTGGCCAAGCCCTGGGCAAGGAGCTGGACCCTACGCTCGTCCCGGTGACTGGGTGCATGCCAAACGCTGTCTGTCGTGTGGGGGTGGGATGTCCATGGCGGTCCTGGCTGGCAGTGAGCATCACCAGCGTCACCAACATGGACATCCGTCCTCCCTGCTGCGCTTTAAGCATCTGAGTAAAAGAAATGCTGTCACATCCAGGCAGGGACACTGAGGCTTTTTCTTTTTAGTCTGGTTGGGGAATTCAGCCCTCGTCTCATGGCTGCGTCGGACTGAACTGCAGCCGCTTCCCCTGCTGGGAGCTGGCTCTGCCTGTCCTGCTCGTCAGGGGTGCCGCTGAGCAAGCCCGTGGCTTTCTGTTTCCCTTGCAGAAAAGTCTGTGCACTTCTCATCCATCGCAGAGGCTCAGAAGCTGAGTGCGGAGCCAACGGCCGCATCGTGCTGGCCCCCTGTCCTGTCCTACGCCCGGGATGTGATAAAAACCTCTCCCCAGGCAGAGCCCCACTTGTTCCAGTATAACCCACCGGGTAAGTGGAAGCCGCCGGCTGCGCGGCACGTGCTCTCTGTCCTGAGCTGGGCTGAGCACAGGGGCTGTGGTTGCGGGTGTGCTCT